AAAAGGGCCCATAAAAAAAAAAAAAACCCTAAAGAGTACCCGTTCTGTTCAGACTGCATGATATATACCAGGATTTCATTGTAAACATGGGTTACCTCTATACTGTAACATCAGCTGTATACATGTGGGTGGTTGTCAAAATTATGGTCCCTTTTTGGGTCCCTAATATACTACGGCACCTAATATTTCGGGTACCCAAAAAAGGACCCTAATTTTGACAACCACCCATGTATACTAGGGTCTCATGATACATCAGGGGTACCTCTACAGATAATACCAGGGTCTCATTATCGATAAACGGGTAGGGTATCATGACAAGTGGACGTTACCTGTAGAATCCACAGTAGCGTCTCATCAAAAATGAAGGGTACACTCATAAGATATAGTAGGGTCCGATGCAATGTAGAAAGGAACCGCTATAATCTATGTATATACAGTACTCATGGTAGGCCCTATGCCCTATGTTTCTTTGTGTGGGGCCTTCTACACCTTAAACCCAAAACCAAAAAATCCTAAACCCTAAAACCTTAATCCTTAAACCCTAAAGCCCGAACCCTTGACCCTAAACCCCTTAAGCCCAAAAGCCTGGACCCTTAACCTTCATACCGTGGACTCCTTTTGAAGACGGCTAAGGTCGGAGGGCTGCAAAGCGTTTTTATTTGGACGCCAGCACTTCAGCTGCTCGAACTTCCTGGGGTCATGTCACCTCTATACTTCCTGCTTCCCGGAAAACAACCCCTGCTGGGGACAGTACCTCTTGATGCCATAAGGGCGCAAGAGCTGCTTGCCACAAAGGCAGGGAAGCTGTTTTGCGCTGCACAAGCCGACCGGCCATTCGACAGCCATTCCGTACGCGATGTTGCTTCCCTAAGCCACAATCCCTACATCCTATTCTATTTGTGCCAAAACCCGATGTTATTGTTCGTCAATCGTTTGTATGCTGATTTATTGTGTTCCGCCTGAAAAGCCCGTAAATCGCCGAGAGATCCATAAATATATGTTTCTGCTGGACAGGTCCGTTGTTCTTGTTAGGGATTATTTACTGTTTAGGGTTTAGGGTTTAGGACAATAATGTGCTTGTGATGATTGCAAGGTCGCTTCAGCGGTGTGTATGCGCTCTGTAAGCGCCAGAACTCTTGATGTAGACCCTGGACAATTAACCCTCCTTGCTTCCAGGGCCTGGGCATTAGGAACCCTAATATAGGTCCTTAATAAGTAGAATAGGGGTTCCTTTTTATTAAAAATAGTCTAAAGGCCCCAAAACTCAAAACTCTGTTGTAATTATTCAAGTCTTTATATTTCTTAAAGGATCATGGGGCTATTCGCCCTCCAGGGAGAACAATTGCCACTTAGATGCTCGTTTTTTTGGGTTTGGGGTTTCGGGTTTGGGTCTACACAAATGGTTGTCTCGTGGCCTCACCATCTGCACAGAGTATCAGATGTGTTTTGGGCACGCCGTGAAGAAGACCCTTCATTGGCTGCATTTGGGAGTTTCAGAAAATAGGGGACCCTAGTATAGTACCCTTAATAAGGACCTTAGTGTAAGGACCCCCCAAAATAAGGTACCCCCCCCTATTTTCGGAAACTCCAAAACTTTGTTTCCAAGTTTGTTTCCAAGTTTTGCCCACAACGGGATGCTTGTTTGAGGTCTGGTACCTACAAAAGGCTCGGATACAACCACTGCGCGCCGAGCAAATGAAAGCTGCCTGTTCCTAAACTGAGCCCTATACGTAGGGTTTTGGGATGCAGAGTTTTGGGATGGTTTAGGGTTTGGGGGTTTAGGGCTTTGGGATTCAGGGTTTTGGGATTTAAGTATTTTAGGACTCAGTGTTGGGGTTCCGGGGCTTCTCAGTTACTCCAAGCAGGCAGTTGCGCCATCTGGCCTGTCACCAAGATGGCCTCGTCAAAGCTTGTAGGTGCCATGTTGCTTGCCGGCCCCTTTGCATACCAGCTCAAGCCCAGAACCGCTTTGACCTAAAGCCCTAGCCTAAACCCTAAAAGCCCTAAACTTAAACCCTGAACCCTAAACCCTGAAGCCGAAAGTAAACCCTAAACCCGGCAGGCCCCAGAAATTGATGACTGG